CTTCAACTTCACTTTCCACAGTCAGCCCCTGGCCTTGTTCTTACTGGTGATTTGAGCTTCTCCATTATCTCTCTCCACAGATACAATTTGATTTTTGTGTATTCCATCAGGTGAGGTCCACGTGTATAGTCGTGGTGTATGTTGTTGAAAAAAAGTATTTGCAATGAATACTTTGAAAACTTCAAAGTATTGAAATTGAAAAATTCTATCATGCAATTTCCAGCATTGTGTCTATCACCAAGGCCATATTTCCAACTACTGAGCCTCCTCCTTCGTTTCCAACTTTTGCATTCCAATCACCGGTAATTATCAATGCACCTTGATTGCACATGTTCGATCAATTTCAGACTGCAGAAGTTGGTAAAAATCTTCAGTTTCTTCATCTTTAGCATTAGTGGTTTGTGCATAAATTTGAATAATAGGTGTATTAACTGGTTTTCCTGGTAGGCATAAGGATATTATCCTACCACTGCCAGCATTGTATTTCAGGGTAGATCTTGAAAAGTTTTTTTTGACAATGAATGCAATCGAGATGTTTCAACAAACAGATGCAATGCTGTAAGTGCTCACTCATCTATACCAAGAAATTTGGAAGATAGCTACCTGGCCAATCGACTGGAAGAGATCCAAATATGTGCCTATTCCAAAGAAAGATGATCCAATGGAATGCGGAAATTATCAAACAATATCATTAATATCACATACAAGTAAAATTTTGCTGAAAATAATTCAAAAACAATTGCAGAAATACATTGACAGTGAACTGCCAGAAATTCAAGCTGGATTCAGAAGAAGATGTATAACGAGGGATATCACTGCTGATGCAGATGGATCTTAGCTGAAAGCAGAGAATACCAGAAAGATGTTTACCTGTGTTTTGTTGACTACGGAAACGCATTCAACTGTGTGGATCATAATAAATTATGGATAACATTGTGAAGAATGGGAGTCCAGAACACTTAACTGTGCTCATGTGGAACCTGTACATAGACTGAGGGGCAGCTGTTTGAAGAGAACAAGGTGATACTGCATGGTTTAAAATCAGGAAGGGTGTGTGTCAGGGTTGTATCTTTTCACCATACTTATTCAATCTGTATGCTGCAAATAATCCGAGAAGCTGGACTATATGAAGAAAAATGCGGCATCAGAATTGGAGGAAGACTTATTAACAACCTTCGATATGCAGATGACACAATCTTGCTTGCTGAAAGAGGACTTGAAGCACTTACTGATGAAGATCAAAGACTACAGCCTTCAGTATGGATTACACCTTAACATAAAGAAAACAAAAATCACAACTAGACCAATTAGCAACATCACGGTAAACAGAGAAAAAATATTGAAGTTGTCAAGGATTTCATTTTACTTGGATCCATAATTAAGGCCCATGGAAGCAACAGTCAAGAAATTAAATGATGTATTGCATTTGGCAAATCTGCTGCAAAAGACTTCTTTGAAGCAAACATGTCACTTTGAGGACTAAGGTGCACCTTACCCAAACCATGGTATTGTCAGTCGCCTCATATACATGTGAAAGCTGGACAATGAATAAGGAAGACCGAAGAAGAATTGATGCATTTGAATTATGGTGTTCACGAAGAATATTGAATATACCATGGACTTCCAGAGAACAAACAAATCTGTTTTGGGAGAAGTAAAGCCAAAATGCTCCTTAGAAGCAAGGACGGCAAGACTTCGTCTCATGTACTTTGGACATGTTATCAGGAGGGACCAGTCCCTGGAGAAGGACATCATGCTTGGTAAATTAGAGGTCGGCGGAAAAGAGGAAGACTCTTAACAAGATAGGCTGACACAGTGCCTGCAACAATGGTCTCAAACATAGCAATAACTCTGAGGATGGCTCAGGACCAGGCAGTGTTTTGTTCTGTTGTACATAGGGTACCTGTGAGTCGGAACCAACTCGACATCCTCTAACAACAACAACATCTAGAGGGCGCGCTGAATGGTGGTAAAATTCTCACCTTCCATGTAGGAAACCCGGGTTCAGTTCCTGGCCAATTCACCTCATGCGCAACCACCACTCATCTGTAAGTAGAGGCTTGTGTGTTGCTATGATGCTGAACAGGTTTCAGCAGACCTTCCAGAATAAGATGGACTAGGAAGGAAGCCTGGAGATCTACTTCCAGTAAAAACCCCGTGGCTCACAAGAGTCTGATCCACAACCAATCATGGGGATAGTGCAGAACAGGACAGTGTTTCATTCCGTTGTGCGTTAGGTTGACATGAGTTCGGGGGTGGGGGGAAACTGGAGGACAGTTAACAACAACAACAAATTTTTTTTTCTGTGTAATGTAAACATTAATCTTGGAGCATTGCACGGTAATTAATTGTGTAGAAAAAGCCTAGAAACTTTCTTTCAACTCCTATTAAGAGTCTTTATTCTTCTGTTAGGCATCAGAGCCACAAAGCACTGTGTCTGCCTCTTCTTTTCAGCTTAATTGAATTGAACAAATCAGTAATTAAATCAGATTCATTTCTTAAAACTAGCATTAATGAGAGGTTTTGTTAATAATAATTTCACTTTAAAAAACTGAACCCAAACCCCCAGGTTATATTAGTAAAAACCTTAATGTGGAAGACAGGCAAGTTAAAATTTAGAAAATTATATGTCCTTAATAGGGCATGCTATGAAATTATCTCCAGAAAATGGAAAAAGGAAAGAAAAACAGACAAAAGAAGAAATGCAATTCAAAAAGGTCTGAATTCAGTGGCAGGCTCAGACATATATACTAATACCACATGAGCAGACATTTTTTGTTTATTAAATCAACAAGGATTTTTATCTGTTACTATTAGTGTTGATGATCATAGAGGATAAAAAAACAAACAGTTTTATGCAGCTTGTAAGAGGAAAATTTGATACAGCGGTTGTGGATAACAAATTTTGCAGTACATATAAAAATTCTTCAACATGTTGATTACACTTGATCCTTCAATTACACTTCATGCATTAAGATTTATAATAGGAAAAATTAGACTGGTTAAATTGTGATGTTCACTTAATGGAATACTATATAGCATTTAAAATTTGTGCTGCAAAACTTTTAATAAAAAAATTTTAATGAATTTACAAATTATAAAAATATATGCTCAATTTAATCCCAGATCAGGGGAGTCAGGGAGAAGGGCAAAACTAAACAAAAAGATAATTACTTGTGTGGGTATTTTGTATAATTTTTTTTCTCCTATAAACAGTACGTGAGTTTGTTTTTATGCTTCTCCCTCTCAGTATTACATAGTAGGAGTTAAAAGACTTTGTTGATTTAATAAGCTAAGAATTGCATCTCATTTTAGTTTTAATGTATACTTCTGAGCCTATCAGGGAATACCTATATGTATATATACATATATACATATATATATATGTGTGTGTGTATATATATGTATATATATATATCTATATATATATAAACAGTTTGCACTCAGCTGTTGACCAAATGTAAACACAAGTCACATTGCTAAGGAGCAGGCCACAGCTCCCAGAAAACACAGATATATCTGGAAAGGTCAACTGGAACCACTGCATCTTATAACAGTCTGTGGGAGTGACGAGTGACCAAAATCCAAAATCCAACTCCATGTGTTACAGAGTAGAACTTCTCTACAGGGTTTTCTTGGCTGTGATTTTTTACAGATGCAGATTGCTAGATGGGTTCAAACTGCCAACCTTTAAGTTAGTAGCCAATTGCAAACTGTTTGCACTACCCAGGGACCTTGAGGAGTGACAGTGAGCAATTTACCTGCCTGTTTCTGGGCCTGTCGCTCACTCATCAGAGTTCACCTCATAGGGTATTGCTCCTCCTCTTTTTCAAGCTCTGTTATACCCAGTCCATCAGGGTATTCATAGGGGCATGGTGCTTTTTCCAGGCTCAGAAGTGGTGAGGAAAGCCAGAGCCCCTGTGGCAGACACAGGGGAGGGATGGAGCTGAGACAGTGGTCAGAGTAAGGTAAGGAAGCCAATGGCTCTGCCTGGGTCAGCTGCACATACTCTGTGCTGTACTGGCCAGCGCCTCAGGCTGCCTGGGTGGAGAAGGTGTCACGAAGACTGGAGCAGGTCCAGTGTCACCAACGGCAGCAACATGAGCATGTGTCTCAGCAAACCTGGGCACTAGCACATCAAGAGGGGTTCCTATATTGGTCCAATTTATAACCTACCAATCACCTTTCAACTCATTTCACTATGACTCGCTTTGATTACATATCAACTTATGAATGCTTATAGAGTTCTAGGGGAATGTTTCCCCTTTCCCACAGATAGGTTTAAAAATGATTTAATTTTTTAAATTTAATAACAAATCGTATGCAGAGATTGAAAATAAAAAATAGATGGTAAACAATACATGAGATTATGTACCTCTCTTTCAGGTGCATAACGTTTTCTTTGGAGCAAAATATCAATTTATTTTAGCCAAAAACATTTGATTAAATCTATATGTTAACAAGAATCAATACTGAAATATTAACATCTGGAGGAAATATTATGTCAAGCACAAATAAGATAAAATCAATTTTTATCTACGGTAGACATTGGGACTTTGCAGACGTCATATTCATTCGTTCATTTATTTATGAGTTCACTTGAAAGTCCAAAATATATAAAAAGTTGCAGTTTTTCTGGAAACTTGATTTGAAACAGAAATACTACTATGTGAAAGCAAGTCACCTACCCAGAGTCTGAGCCTAGTCCTTTCAGGCCCCAGCATCTTCCCTTTCAATGCAAATTTACTCATCTGTTGACTACTGACCTCATTTGATCCCCACAACAACCTCACTAAACAGAACATTCTCTCTTTTTTACAGATAAGGAAATTCAAATAATTACATATCATAAGTGGCAAATATTTTGGGAATTTGCAAAGATCTCAAGATATATTCCTTGCAAATGTCAGTAATCTACTGTATTTAAAAAGTGCGGTATTCTATTATAGAATTATTAATACATTCAAATAATTTTATTTCATTCTTCCTTGGCTAAGCAGCAGCATTAACATCAAAATAGCACTCAACTTTGATAGTCTGCAAATACATCTCAAAAATCAGAATCAATGAGACAGCAAGTAGCTAACTAAACGTTAAATAGTATGTTTAATGGTATAAAAAATAAAAGTTCAAAAATCTCCCTCCTCTATTTAGCAAGCGATATACATTTCCCTACTCCTTAGTATTGAGAAAGCTATTAAATGTATGTGTGTGTGTGTATGTGTGTGTGTGTTTTCATGTACAGCATTTTTTGTTTGTTTTCTTAAAGGCATTGAATTTAAAATTTTTAATCCCATCCAATGAAAATTCTTTAAGAATGGAAGATTATTCTACGAAAGACACTTGGTTTGGAAGAAAAGAACAGAAGACTGGACATAAAAGTCCTAAACTCTAACCCAACATAAACTCACTATACGGTTACACTGAATGAATTTGTACATGTCATACAGCTTCTCTGGTCATCTGTTAAGCCTGAAAAATGAGAAGAATGTATAATAACATCATTAATATCCACTCCGGCTTTAAATAATCAAAAGTTCTATGATCTACCGCTAAGCCACCTTTCTTTATGGCTATCCAGATGCCAATTTTAACTAATTACACATACCAGACTAAACAATACAGATTCAAAGGTATCTTACTTTGGATAGCTATGGTAGACTTTGAAAATATTCTGCAAAATAACCCCTCCTAACTAATGAATATTCCAAGTCTGTAGTATGTTGCAATTATATACGTGGTAACAGCATTTCAGCAGAACATCCTGAAATCATTTGATTATCTGAAATAGAGTGAATCAAGAAATCTAATTTTGCCATTGAAATTTTATAGGTTTTGTACCAACTATTAAATTACCATATCCCAATAGTCAAAAAATACGTTATGTAAAACTCTGTCCAGTGCCTAAATAATAGTGATAAAAGTTAACTCCATTTGACTTTACGATGTTGTGTACTGTTCTTGGAATCCAAGACTTCAATTCCACTGGCATGTGCAGTCGATGGGTTCTTGGAGAGTGTACATGACTTCAGTACCATTTCCTGAGCAATAGAGTGGCACAGTCAAGTTTCGCACTCCATTTTCACGACAACACTTGCAGAATCTTAGGTGGCTGTCAATATTGATGTTATATATGGTAGCTGACGGGCATTTTCCATCACAAGATGCAACATTTACCTGTAAGAAGAGACAATAAGAAAAAAAAGTTTTAAAAACACTGGTTATTACTTGTTTTCACTAATAGATGAAATTAAGGTCTTTTTCCTCATCACTGCAACCCTCCAGCTTCCGTATATTAGCAGATGTCAGAAAATACTAAGTTGAAATATAACTCAGGTAAGTCAAAGGGATGGTCGATGGTTACACCCAACACAGCAGTGCTGACATAACTCAAAGCATGCAATGTATACTCATAACTAGGTAGGAGTATGGAATATATTAGGAGTTCCTTGGTGGTACACACTGTTAAGCGCTCAACTACTAGCCAAAAGTTTGGCAGTTCGAAGCCACCCAGAGATGCCTTGGAAGACAGGCCTGGTGATCTGCTTCTGAAAGGTCAGAGCCTTGAAAACCCTGTGGAGCAGTTCTGCTCTGCACACATGGGGAAGCCATGAGCTGGAATTGACTCAATGGTAACTAACAACAACAACATGGAATATATTAATCACAATCTAATGATCCTATTGTGAGCTGCTTTATGTCATGACTCAAGTAGACTGTAGAATCAAACAGGTCATATTAAAGGGGACAGAGCTTAGAAGTCGGACTACTTTTGCTGAGTCGAACTGCATAATTAAGACAATATATATAGTCAAATTTACTTATTTAATTTCCATCTGTCTAGGTTGGATGTATCATTCAGAACTATTATTTATGCTAAGAATAATTCATACTTCTTCACAAATTATTTTAATATTGGAGTGTAAAAATAATCTCAAAGTTAAATAAGTTTTGGCATTTTGTTGGCTTAAAAACACTTCTTAGTGCCATGACATATATACTTCTGGAAACACATATGCTTTATGTAAAAAAATGATATTTTTCAACTTACAGCGCTTCGACTTATACAGTCCTGTCTCCTTATGACTGTTTTAATAATCACTCTCTGGCATATTCTTTCTTCTCTTTTGCCTGGTAAAATATATAATGTATTTATTAATCAAAAAGCCCATGTCAGATTGTTTCTTGAGTTAATTAACTATACAAATTGTCTATAATTAAAAAGTATAATAAAAATCAATGTATATATATAAAATATATCCCTTTATTGATATTTAAAATCTTCATGCTTACATATTTTATGTGCAATGTTTATTTTCACATTCTAACTAGTTTCCCTTACATGTTCTAAATTTATACTTAACTCTTTATCATATTGTCTTAGAACAATTATCATAATCACAAATTTGAAAACATCCCACACATGTAATAATGCTGACATCAACTGGTGTGTGGTATATATGTGTTTAAAATAACTTTTGGAATGAATCATGGTATGTATAAATAAATAAATGCATACATATGTGTATGTATAT